TTTGTATTACAACTTTATAACCACCAACTTTACCTCATAAGTTCTCGGCGAGAGACATGAAAACTGGCTAAAACAGCTTATTCAACAGAAGACGACAAGTCACTGAATTATTAAGACGACGAAATGCGAATTAGTCCCTACTAATAATTCGCACTATTTCTCCCTACTTATTCGGACGTAGGTCCCCAAAAGGAGATTCGACCGTTTACGGAAATCCATACACATACATTCTCAAAACTTTTCTTTTCTCTATTTCCTTCATTATACCAATTTGCTACATTATTTCCCTTAATTATGACTATGTTTCACAAACGTCAAAATTACATATAAAAATTGGTTCCTTTTCCTTTACACAATATATAACAAAATCATTGCATAAATATTATTACCCCTAATATGAGTTTCACATATACTTCGCCGAACACTCACATACAGAATACATGATTAACATTTTTTACATATAGCTCTAATCGTTGTGATTTCATACCATACACTTTCCTTCGCTGTCGACGAAAATCTACAATTAATACAATAATAATAACAAACAATAAATTATTTCAATTATATTATATCAATTACTCGATTTTAACGATTATTCGTGATGATCAAAATCAATACTTCAGACCTCAAAATTGGTTCGATATTTTTTTATATGATATCGGTTATGTACTCCAATTATTTTCGTCGGCTCTTCAGGCAATGCTAACTCATATGCGTTATTTTTAAAATCTTTAGTTATGACATATGGACCATAATAAATGTGGAAAAATTTTCTAGTCACTTTTTTATACGCGTCAGAAATCTTAGGTATTTGTAATAAAACTTAATCCCCCTCTTTCAGGATTACTTTCGAGATCAGCTTTTGAGTACGCCCCCGTTTTTTAAAACTTTGGTTTATTTTTTCCCTCGCCAAAAATATTTTCGCATCTCTTGATATCTCCTGCGCTACCGGAAAACTCAGAATTTTTTGAACAGGATCGGAAGGCTTTACCCCGAATTAAAGCTCAAAAGGTGAATAACCGGTACTGTGGTGCGTCGTTACGTTTAAAAAAAATTCGATATCCACGATATGTTTACACCAGCGAGTGTGTTTTTCAGAACATAATGTTCTGAATAAACGCCCCAGCTCCCTCATCACCCTCTCCACCGGATTTCCCTGTGGGTGCCTTACTGACGAAAATATAAATTTTATGCCCAATTGGTCCAGTTTTTTGATCCATTTTTGAGAGGTAAATTGGGAACCGTGATCTGCCAATAAACGCCTCGGTTTTCCCATTTCAATAAAGTAATCCTCGCATAACTTTTTCAGAACGATTTCCGTAGTCTCTCTTTTTATCGGATATAATTTCACATATTTTGTGAATGCGTCTAAAACCACAAAAATGTACTGAACCCCCTCCCCCCACTGACCTTGGAAGCGGTCCATAAAAATCTACACATACAAGATTACCTGGTTCCGATGATTCAACCAACTTAAACGCTCCCTCCATTTTAATATTTACACTCTTTACTCGCTGACAAAGGTCACACGAAAGGACGAACTGTTTTACTTCCGGCCCCATTTTTTTCCAATAATAAAATTGTTTGAGATACATTAGAGTTTTGTACACTCCCGGATGACCCAGTTTAGAGTGGACGCAATTTATCATTTGTTTAGTTAAAATTTTGGGAATAACTACTTGCCACAATTGAAGGATTTTGTCGTGTCGAAATAAAATATTATTTTTTACTGTAAAAACTCGAGATTGTTATTGTTTTCATATTGATCCAAAATCATTTTAATATTTTTGTCTTCCAGTTGTAAATTAGTCAAATTCCTTAGAGAGTTTGTCAAATCTAATCCCAAATCGATTTCACATAATGAATAAACATTTGCATCAGATTCAACACCCATCTCCAAAACATCGATTGACAATTGATTCTGGACTTGACATTCAAATTTTCCTCTCGGGTTTCGGCTAAAAAAATCGGCCACGACATTATCCTTCCCCCGGCAGTAAGAGACGACAAAATCATATTGTCGCAAAAGCAGACTCCAATGAATCAGACGCGCGTTGAGATAGGCAGTTGATTGCAAAAATGTCAGCCCTTTGTGATCGGCGATAACATCAAATTGTTTCCCTAGCAGATACACTCTTAGTTTGGAGATAGAATACACGATCGCTAACAGCTCCTTCTCTGTCGTCGTGTTATTCATCTCCGCGCTATTGAGGCATCTGCTGACCAAGGAAACCACTCTATGATCACCGTCACCATCACACTGATATAAAACACCGCTCACTCCCACGTCCGAAGCATCAGTCTGCAACTTAAATCGAGCTTCTGGAATAAAGTGACTCAATTCGACACAATTTACAAATGCTAATTTCATCTTTTCAAATCTATAAAATGTACACATTCCCAAAAATTTTTGTAATTCGCGTTTATTTTTAGGTTCTGCAAATTTCGCAATCATTTCCAATTTATCGGAAAGAGGTTTAATCCCTTTCCTTGTCAGTTCGTGTCCCAAAAATTTTATCTTTTTCTGCAGAAATAGCGATTTATCTAATTTAAGAGTAAAATTTTTGTTTTGTAGTACTTCAAAAATTGCAACTAAACTATTAATATGTTCGTAAAAAGACCCTTTTGTTGCAATTAAAAAATCGTCTATGTAAATTGATAATACGTCATTGAATTGATCCCCTAAAGCATTATTCAAGGCGCGAATAAATGCTGACCCGGCCGTCTTCAATCCGAACGGCAACCGGCAGAATTGATACATTTTCGAGTCGTAAACGAACGCCGTATATTTTCTATTCTCTTCATGAAGTGGTATCTGCCAGTATCCAGTTTCCATATCAACAACCGTCATATATTCCGTTCCGTAGAATTTTGGCATTAATTCGTTAATTAATGGCGGTGTCTCGTGATCTGCTTCGATAATGTTATTTATTTATATCTAGCGTCTAAACAAACCCGGACTGACCCATCGTTTTTTATCGCGATTCGTAACGGATTACAATATTCAGCATCGGCCCGTTCAATAATTTTAGCTTTAACCATATTATTTATTTTTTTTCCTACCGGATCCCGTAATTTAAATGGAACCGGGTAATGTTTTCAAATATACGTTGTAAGATTTTTTATTCTCAATTTATATGGAGTCGTGTATGCACTTTCACTTTTTGGCGTAAAAAGTTTTTCAAACCTCGACATTTTTTCGATAAAATGTTCTTTTTCATTATTCGATAAATTAGGCACACTCGAAATCGTAGAACGTAATTTTTCTATGAAAATATTCGTATTCAAAACCGACTGTTCACAAGAAATCACCGACACCGAGCATGAGTCATCATAACAATTTTTCTCGTCTAAACTATCACAATAAGAATCACCGTCATTATCCTCGATAAACACTTCACCCTTATCTAAATCATTTTTAAAAATTGCATTTATTTTATTCGATTCAATTGATTTATTTAGATAAATGTTATTACTCTCCTCTTTTTTTTTATTTTCGAATAAATTACGTTCATCCAAATCATAGTGGTCATTATTATCGTAATCATCTATCTTTCCTTTATCAGGACTGACGTCATCTTTTGTTTCTATCATTTGTATATATTTAAAATCCCCCTGTGATTCAATGCGTTTCCATTCATTCGACGGGTATTGATCAAATTGGACGCGTTCTTGAGGTACAATAATCCCCCCTATAGTCATAGACAGATTTTTATAATTGATAACTACTTTATTTTTTGATAACCAATCGTTTCCTATAATTATTTCGTTTGATAATTTCGGTACTACTAAAAAAGTCGATTGATATTTGTCCTTACCGATAACGATTTCGTGCAAAATTTGTTTTTTTATTACTGTAGATTTTTTTCCAACGGCCGTGAAAAGTTCAACATTTGAAACCGGTAATTCGCTAAATTGACCGTGGGACAAAAAATAATGATAACATTCTTCCGATATTGCAGTTTTTTGGCTGCCCGTGTCAATCAATGCGCGTATCGGAACTGAAAAAATATTTACTATAAGTCTCGGACACAGCAAAATTCGTGACAGATTTTTGGATCCATTATTCTCATTATCTTGATCAACGTCATTTTCAATTACTGTTTTTCCTAAATTCTAAAAGTCTTGATACAGATGTTGGCACGATGCTTGGACCGATAGCACCGCGCCAGTTATAAGTTTAAATTATTCTTGCATAAATGTTGATTATAGGATACACGGTGATTTGAGTTAAATGAGGGAGTAGAGAACACTCATATCTGGCAATTGTACACCATTTCGACGATTGATTGTATCAAGATGCGAATTTTGTAAACTAGAAATGCGACTTGTATTTATTTGTTGCGAGTTTTGTTTTCGGCTGTTTTGATTATCTCTAAACTGAACTTGATGATTATTATACTTATTTTCACTTTTATTAGTCTGCGAATTATTTGCGGTGTTTTGATTATTCTGATTCGTCTGATGTTTTTTTTGAACGTTAGTTTTATCACTAAATGTAAGGTCAAGCAGTGTTAACGTTTGAGAAATTTTTTTATAATCAGAAAAATCTACTGCAGCCATTGCTTCGCGTACACGTATTGGCATTTGAGCAATTATTGTATAATGCATTTCGTAATTTTCAATACGCGGAATGTATAGGGTCATTAACAATAATACTACCAACGTTTAGCAGGAAAAAAAAAATTTTTATCTCATTTGGATTTGCAGTTATTCAAAATTTAGAGGTGGCCGACCACTGTACAGAGGGTTGCCAACTACTGTCTAGTTAACCCTAATCAGAAAATTAGTTACCCAAAGATTTTTGAATTTAAAAAAGAAAAAAAAATTCTCTGTACAGCCTTGTTTCGACAGGTGGATCGATTTGGCAAGCAATGACCCCTGTGTGTGGTGTGGTGTGTCTCGCTTTAACATAAGCCGCCCCCACTCGCACTCGTCTTTCTCTCTCTTTCTTTTCCGCGGAAACTCCCTCTATTTTCCCTCTCAGTAAACGACTGAATCTCGAGGAAAGCGCGCGGCGCTCAGATTCACTTTTCTCTTGTTGTCAGTTTGGAGAGTTCGGTTTCAAACAGTTTGAAACAAGTTGGAAAAACTTTTTTTTTCTTTTTTTCTTCTCTCTCACTCACTCTTCGTTTTGGTGACGACGATTGCAATTCAATAAATTGACTCTGATATAATGCACGTGATAAAATACACGACCGTGATCTTCTTCTTATTCTTCTCCAAAAATACACTACGTCGACGCTTCACGTAGTAGAAATTTTTGTATATATAAATTTTTACCCGGCTCGTGGAGAAGAAAATTTTTTCTGGCCTAGAAAAATCAATGTACGTTTATTTTAATAGTAAATGATATACTAAATAATAAAATAATACAGAAAAAGAAAATAATTCTCTCAGTTGATTTTGTTAGGTCAGAAAGAAACTGTTTTCTTTTCTATATTTTTCCTGTGAGTTTGTTTTTTGCTTTGAAAACATTGACCTGAGAAGATCCATTCGCTTGAACTCTTTAGTAGAGGTCAGTTAGGGAATTTGAAGGTAATTTTAATAATTATTTTTTCCTCTCATAAATTATTTTTTAGGAAATTTTTCAAAATTTGTAATTTTCTTTTTCGTCAAGAAAATGTTCATCTAAACTTTAGTTATTGATAAAGTAATTAATTGGAGTAGGAATAAAAATTCGAAAATATATTTTTTCGTATGGAAAAAATATTTCTTGTAATATTAGTGAATAAGAGGCCTTTCTTCGACCCTCAATAAGAATAAGTCTATTTATAATTGTTCACTGATTCTAATTTAGACGTCTTCAAGAGGCGGAAACAAAATTTAGCAGTAAAAAAAAAGTCTACTTTGTAGTGAGAAACAAATTTTATTATATTTCTTAAAAATAAAACTTTTAGTATTTTATTTGAGTATTTCAAAATTTAGATTGTTTCGTCCCACTTTTTTAATTACCGGAATGAAGAAACAGATTTTATTTCAAGATTTTTAAAAAAAGAAAGTTATTGTTAAAAATTTCTTTCTCGTGGAGAAAACTTTTTATTTATTTATATTAATTTTATTAATTTATTTATTTTAATTTTGCAAAATATTATTTTTTATTTATAAAATCTAGCAAATATTAAATTTATTTTAATTTTAATTTCGCAAAATATTTTTGTATAAAATCTATTAATGGTAATTATCAAATTTATTTTTATGCAGGTAAAAATGTATAAAGGAAATTTTTTATTTTTTTTCGTATTCATTTTCATATTTTTTTTATTAATTAGCGTGTATATGTAAACAATATGTGTAAACATGTTGCTTTAAAATTTGTCCAAAATTCAACAAGTAACTATATTAATTATTATGCAAGTATAAACCTCGAAAGATATCGTGTAGAATTTAATTCAAGTAAATAACAAAATATTTACATGCATATAAAATAGAAAATATTACAGACATTATTAATATTATTATTATTATTATTAAATTAATATTACTAAATTAATATTATTTTTTTATTCTTGTTACTCTATTTTTATACTTATTATTATCATTATTGTTATACTATTTTTTTATTATTATTATTATTGTAAATAATAATTAAATGTTATTATTATCTATTGTTTTCCTAGTATAATGTTTATTTTTTTACAAAAGAAAACGGGGAAAATGTGTAAAAAATAATAAAAAAATTTTAACTTTAGTGAAAAATTGTAAAAAATATTTTATTTTTAACTAATAAAAGATTTTAGTTGTAATTTAACTAAAAGGGGAAAGAAAACCCTGAGTCATTTTAATTAATTTTCTTTGGGGTGTTTATGGCATAAAATAACTCTCTCGGTAAAGATTAATGACTCTCAATTATCTAAATGCTAAAAAAAGCTCTAAGAATTTTTTTACAACAAAATATATAATTAAAATACTTCTTTCTCGTGCGATGGGAATATAAAAAATTAAATACATATACATTTATCATTTATAATTATATATTTAATTAGATTAATAAAAAATTAAAATAAAAATAGAAATAGAAAAATAAATTAAATAATTAAATTAGATGCTTAAATTAAGGGCATTTGAAACTTGATAACGTCACACATGCTTTGCACAAACTGAAACGTCATCAAGGTTCAAATGCCCTTAAATAGTTGAATTAAGTAATTAAATTGAGTAATTAAATTAAGTAATTTAGTATAAATAATAATTCAAATAAACAAATAATTAAACAAGTAAATAATTAAATATAAAATTTAATAATTAAACTGAATAATTAAAAAAATTATTCAAGAATCTAATAAGAAAACCTGTCTCCAAAACTTTTATTTCTAGAAAAAAAGGATATTCGTAAAAAAAATTAAATTGAAAATTGTTATTTACTGTATATTTTATGAAGTAAAAAAAAATAAATTAGAGTTGGAAATTACTTTCAATATTTATATGCAGAAATTGAATATATATATATATGTATATAGTTGGAGGCAATTAGAAAATAAGGAAAATGGAGCGAAGAATCTTGTTAAGATGAACAAATATAGTAAACTACTGTTGTAGCAGAAGGGCAATTTAAAAGACTTTACGAGTGTTAACGTAGAAAACGTCTTAAAAGTTGGATTACAGACTTAAGTAACTTAATTCTGATATAAAATGAAATTGAAAAATGTTGAGAAAAATTATAGTTTTTTAATCGATGGAAGAAAAATTAATTACTTACACTAAATTAGTAGAAGTGCAATTACATTTTTTGTCTTATTTTCTTCTTTTAATTATTTTTCAAATTAATTTTTTTTTTATTTCGTTATTTTAATTATTTACAGTTTCAATTAATTTTGCAATCGTTTTTTTTTTATTTCGATTAAATTTATTGTGCTTTATTTCGATTTATTTATCTATTTATTTACTTACTTACACTATGGAAATTTAATTATTTAATTAAAAGTAATTTAAATTTAATTTAAATTAAAATTTTATTTAATTTCATTCAAATTTAATTCAATTTAATTTAAAATTATGTAATTCAAATTATTACTCGTTTATTATCAAATAAATATTTACTTGAATCAAATAAATTTTATTTGAACCAATAATTTCAGTATTTGGAGCGTATACCATTTAATTTATTGTTTTAAATAAAAATTATTTATTACAAAGAAATATTTATAGTTGAGATATAACAGACAAGTAATTTTATTTATTTAAAAATAAATATTTATTTATAAATATTTATAACAATAGTTTAAATTTATTTCTTTATTCATAATAAATATTTATAATGTTGTTATAGTTGAACCGTCATTATTTAATTGTTTAATTAAAATAATTAAATTTTAAATAATGAAACAAATAATAATATTGTTTATTTTATTTATTATTTATTAAATAAATAAATATTATAAATATTTATTTAAAAATAAAATTTTCTCTCAGTGTACTTATTTATTTATTCATCATATACGGGACTTGTCTTTTCGTACAAAAATACTTTTGTTTAAATTAATATTTTTCGATTTGCAATAATTTTTTTATTTTTATCTGAACTTTAGTATTTAGAGAAAAATTTACTGCGTTTATTTATTATTTTTCGTGTATAGTTTTTCTATATTTTTTTCTTTACTTTTTTCTACACTTTTTTCTACACTTTTTCTATGCTTTTTAATCTTTTTTTTTCAATTCTTTTTTCTATACTTTTTTTTGTACTCATATATTTCTTTTCCCTTTAAATTTCTCATGTTTCTGCGTGTGTGAAAATATTTTTCCATTAAAGGAAAATATAAATTGTATACATTATACATATAAAAATTTGAAAGGATTTTTTAGGATTTGTATGCGCAGTGATCGAGAAAGATGATCTTTTTCTATTGAAGCTTGCGACTCTAGAAATTTTTTCTCATTACGATATATATATATTTCATAAAACTAGCACGTACTCTAGGATCTCGGAATGCACTCAATTATTATTATTGAAAATACCTCACAATTGTGAGCTGTTTGGAATATAATATTCTTCTGTAAAACTGGAATTTCATTGGAAAATTATTATTGCAAATAAAAATGAAAAAAAAAAAATGAGAAAACAACCGTTTTTTAAGGAGAGGGCATAAAAAAATTATTCTTTTTATTTGTTCACATAACTGCAACAGCAACAACAAATAAATTCAAATTTTATTTATAGAAATTTTTACAAATAAAATCAATTTATTAATTAAATTAAATTATACTTTTAAACTAAATTTCGATATAATGATGAATAATAATTACATCAATTATTTGTATTATTTTGTTATATATTTTATTTATTTATTACGAATAGTCAAAAATTTTGAGAAAATATGCTTTCAAAATAGACGGATTATAATTTCGTTCGGCGTTAAGTGGCCTAAATGTAAATGTCACTAGTTTGACATTTAAATGAAAACATCTTTTTATTGAACTTGGTCTGAAATTCCTCAAAATAATCAAATTTAGACGTCAACTATTTTTATTTCATTTTTTTTTTATAAAATTCAACAATTATTGCATCTCTTTATTTTTAAAGATGGACTAATTATAGTCTTGTATTAAAATCCTTGACTCACATTATCAAAAAACTTGTAAAAAGAAAAACAAGTTTCTTCTTAACTATATAGAAAGTTTTTTTTATATTAATATTCGTCTATAGTTTTGTTTACAAATGTTTTACACATACATACATATATATATATATATGCATTTTAATCGCAGTAAATCAGATTAACTGGAGCATTTCATTATAAAATTACAAACACTTTAATAAATAAATGTGATTTTTGTTTTTATTTATTTATTTAGTATAAGTAAAGTTTTTATAAAATAAATATAGTTTTTTTTATAAAAATTATAATAAATAGTTTAAATATTATATTGAAAAAAATTGTGCAAGAAGATTTTTCTAATTGCAAAATATTTTCTAATTAATAAAAAATATATTTTTGTCTAATAATTTATTTATTTATTTACATAGGTAAACTGGGCAAGTGACATAAAAATAAATAATAAAAAAATAATTTGTAATTAGTACTAAATTATTATTATCAGTGTTACTATTATTATTATTATTATTATTATTATTATTATTATTATTATTATTATTATTATTATTATTATTATTATTATTATTATTATTATTATTATTATTATTATTATTATTATTATTATTATTATTATTGTTATTATTATAATTTTAAATTAAAAATTAAAAATATTTTTTAATTTTATATTATTATTTATTTATTATTCTGTATATTAAATATTTATTCATGTTAATTAGCTCTATTTTAGAAAAGGCCAAAGAGATAATTATTTTTCTAACAAAATTATTATTATTATTATTATTATTATTATTATTATTATTATTAATAATAAATAAATAAATAAAAATAAAATATTTACATTGATGGAAAAGTTATTAATATTTACAGAATAATAATTAATAATATTTACATAGCGAATAATATTTTAAAGATTTTTTTACATAATATTTTGAAAATATTTTCGTATAGAATATTTTAATATTTTTCTCAATGTTTTGAACCTTA